AATACTATCAAAACTTTACAGAAAAATAGCGAGAGACAATAATTGTTTGTTTTCTTCTCATAAAGTTCTGAGAATTTTTTCAGAATTTTTTTCAGAATTTTTAATATCGTATTTTCTCATGTTGGTAAAAATAAGAAAACGTAGTACTAAAAGAGAGTTAATAAAAAATTCTGAAAAAATTCTTAGAGTTCTATGAGAAAAAAATTAATGATTTTTGTCTCTAGAAATTTTTCTGTAAAGTTGATAGTATTTGAGTAAAAAATTATTAAAAACCAATATTTAGTGATTTTTAATAATTAATATCTCGTTAATCATTGCGAAAATAGCAAAATGGTAGATGACTTTTCGACTCAGTTTAGTGCGCTCTATCTATACAAAAGCGGTTGGCAAAAACTTACGGGACGCTCTGTATATATCTTTTCTAATGTGTGCGCGTGCATGCGCGCGTGCGTATGTGCGTGTGTGTGTATATGTGTCTTGTTTTTCTGTATCGTTTGAAACCTTATACGTTTTATTTAAACAATTAGGTGAATTATTAATGTCTGAAAAATGAGAAAAATAGTTACATTTTTTGCTTATTTAAGCTAGAAAAAAATTTACCCATGGCCTAAAAAAAGTATTAGTAATATGTTTGAAGGCAAAATTAGTTTAAAACATGATGAATTCCATATTTTTATTAATAAAGCGATTTTTTATATTTTATATTACATAATAATTAATAATTATACTATAATTGTAATTATTAATCATTGGTACTATCTTGAATAATTCCAGTCATTAAAAAAAAAAAATCTGTGAAACTTTAGTTCAATTCAATCATGTATATGATCCCTTCCTAGGATTATGTTCAGATTTCCACTTAAGTGGATCTCCCAAATATCATTTTATGCTTGTTTAACACTCAGCGAACAACAAGGATAAAATGATATCTACCGATTCTGTAACTTCTAACGACAGTTCGGTATCGACATATTGTCGTTACGCAATTTTTTACGATTTATAATGTGCAACGACAGTATAACGATACCGACACTGTTGTTAAAAGTTATAGAGTCAGAGTATTGAATGACACTTGGATGGGAATCTGAAAATGACCCTCAAAAGGAATTCTACATGTTTTTTATTCAACAATGTAAGATCTTCCAGGGAATCCTCTCCTAGAGGGATCTTACCTTGTTGAATAAAAAACGTGTGGAATCCTTTCCCAAGGCTGTGTTTAGATTCTCACTTCAATGCCATCTAGATATCATTTTATTCTTATTCACTGTTTAACAAAGTTTAAACCTGGGAGGTACTTGAGTGAAAATCTGAACATAGACCTAAGAAAGAATCTTACCTTGTCAAAAAAAAACGTATGAAATAATGACAATAGTGTAACGGATTTCTTAATGAATGATTTTTAAATTTAACGATTCATAAAATTCAAAACAACTACGAACACGATTTTCTTTTATTGAATTGAACTAAAGTTTCACAAATTTTTTTTTTAGTAACTTTAAATTATTCAAGGTGGTGCCAATGACTAATAACTACGATTATAATATAATTAATTATTATGTAATATAAAATACAAAAAAATCGCTTTATTAATAAAAATATGAAATTTATCATATTTTAAACTAATTTTGCTCTCAAACATACTACCAACACTTTTTTAGCCCATGGATCAATTTTTTCTAAGCTTAAATAAGCAAACAATGCAATACTTCCTTTTCTCATTTTTCAAACGTTAACATTTCATCTAATTGTTTAAGGGCCACTTCGACCAACTCCGATTAACTTTAATTGATGGTTAATCCATTAAAATTAACCAATCGCATTTGTCATTTCGCTTAACCGTCGATTGAAGTTCATTGGAGTTGGTCGAAGTAGCTCTAAATGAAACGTATGGAGTCTCAAATGATGTAGAAAAGCAAGACGCATATATTAAAAAAAAAAATGAAAGCTCTATAGGCCGATTTTTGAGGAAAATACGCTATAAAAATCAATGCTGATGGCATAGTATAACAAAACTCAAATGTTTAGCGAGTCGGAGGCATGGATTGCTGATACCCGACCAAGCTAAAATTTTACAGAAACTATTTCTTTGTGGATTGTAGAATTATTTTAGGGAGTGAGGCAGAAAAAATTCGAAAATCGGAAAATAAAGACCACTCTGTCTATACACATATTGCTTAAATTAAAAAAAAAAACAAATACTGCTAATATTGAAATATGAAAATAGCGAGAAAATTTAAATTGCTATACTGTGCATATTTATGTAGTTTCTGTAATTAAATATTGTAATATCGCATCAAGCTGTATTTGAAGAAACTGGATTTAATTACTGATGGATTAGTTAAACATATACAGGAGCCTAACAAAAGAATACAACTCATTTATCATAGATATCCTTTGACAAACTATACATTTGGAACAAAAGAGCCACTCTTCGAGAAAGATCCATCAGTACCAGCAAGGTTTCAGCGCATGAGAGATGAATTCGACAAGATTGGCATGCGGAGAAGCGTAGAAGGTGTCTTATTGGTACATGAGCATGGACTTCCACACGTTCTTCTTCTGCAACTTGGCACAACATTCTTCAAATTGTAAGTTTCGAGAATTTATAAATTACGTATTTAAAAAATTATTTATTTTAATGGCTGAATTTTGTACATTTTCTTTTTCATTATTCCAGACCTGGCGGAGAACTCAATACAGGAGAAGATGAGGTAGAGGGCCTAAAACGGCTCCTTACAGAGGTAACAGTTAACACGACGCCTTACGCTGCCTTACAGGCTGGCTAGGAGTGGCACTTTTATATCGTTAGATTGTAACATTGTCTCTATAAACATCATAATTATTGTATAAACCCTGCAAACGTTTGTAGAACTCATGTAACCGGGCCTGTAGCTCCACATAGGGGCTTGTTCTTTTATTCTTATAATATTTTGTACTTTTGGCGTGCTGCATGCCCGGACACTTCGATGTTGAAAGTATCGCACGTTATTGTATCTGGTTGGCTAAGAACATTGTTCTTATTTCGATAGTGTATGTGTTAGCACAGAGAGAAATACAGAAGAGACAAGATAAAATGCAAGAATGTAAAATAGTGACAAGAAGAATGTTTATAAATATCGCGAATTTTTTAAATTTATAAGCTCAGAAAACCGATTATATACCAAATAGGGTTTAGAATTTTATTGTAAGAGAAAATTATCTGATGGACATAATATGTAGGCCTACGAATTCATTCGTAATTGTCAGATCACGAGACAATTAATAAACTTGAGATTTGTATGATCTCTGTTATATTCTTTAACTAAAACTATTAGTACATACAACGATTTTACTTAATTAGGTATTCATATGAACACTATATTGATACCATAGGTGAAAGAAAATGTACATATGTTCTTGAATATCCATATCAGTTTTTTTTTTATTCTAAAGAGACTTATAGCTACATGTCAATCGTCGATAAACCTGAATATTGTTAGAATTGATGCTATTAGGTGATCGCCGCAAATGTCTCAAAATATAATAAAAATTGTGCAACCATGTTCTTAGTAGACTGACAAAAGAAGAATGTATTTTATTTTCATCATAGTTTACTTGAGGCTCAATATAGTACAATGTTAAACAGCAAATGGGATTGCTTTCTAGACCTTTGGACGGCAGGACGGAGTGAAGCAAGAATGGGTTATAGAAGATACAATTGGAAACTGGTGGCGTCCGAACTTTGAACCACCTCAATATCCGTACGTGCCGCCACACATTACAAAACCGAAAGAACACAAGAGACTATTTCTCGTACAGTTGCAAGAGAAAGGTATAACGACAAATTGAAAGTTTCGACATTCAATTAATCTCATAAATATATTTATTCTCTTGTTATTTTTATATTTAGCTCTCTTTGCTGTACCGAAGAATTATAAGTTAGTCGCTGCACCTTTATTTGAATTGTATGATAACTCACAAGGCTACGGCCCTATAATCTCATCTCTACCACAATCTCTGTGCAGGTATGTGTTTAAAAATCTACTTTTTGCGTAATGCACATTTTGGTGATGTAGACGCGACATATTACAAAATTGCATCTATTTTTGTATTTCAGGTTTAATTTCATCTACATGTGAAACTAGAATTAGAAGAACAAAACTGAAATTCTGTTTAATTTAATGAAATCTATTATAAACTTAATAAATAGCCCCGTACATGTACGAAATAATTGCTGATATTTGAATGAAATTTCTGATCTGTATATGATGCATATTGCGAATTAAACCATTTTTAATTAGTATTTTTTTATATAATCTATATAATCTCATTCCATCAATTCTTATATCTAGATGATAGAAATGTAAATTTCTATATTTTGTTTTTGTATCTGTAACATACAGATGTAAGAGATACAGTCCATTTGACCATGTTAAAATGTACATATAGATTTTTATTAGCTTTATTTCTTAATGTATACAATTAAACTGTATTAATCATTTCAAAAAATTGATTTTTCAAAAATAACAATTATGCGAATAATGTTATAAGAAACTGTAAACACACACATGAACAATGTATTTTTTTGCTAAGTCCTAAAAATACTTCCATAATAAAATTATAATAAAATATAAGATGATTACAGTATTTTGCAATTTAATAATTTTTATTCTTGTTATGACAAAAAAAACAGAAGACAGCTTAATAAAATAATTTACTTGTTTGGTAATTAAATAACTTATTTATCTTGTAACAATATTTGAAAAATATAATTTATATAAATATCTTCATCAAACATATTATTGTCATAGTAAATTGTTTTTCTTTCTTATATTTTTATCTTTCTTATACAATATCACATCGCAATATATGATATCTTAATATTTTATCAATAATTATCTAATTAGTTTTCGTATATAATGTTTGAAAGAACTTATCTTGGAGCATATAATAAACTTTATTCCATTTTCTCTTGCATTTTATACATAATACAATACAAAATATAATAAAATATAGCTGAATATTGAAAGAACAGACGTAATTAGATTTCTTTGGAATTTGATATATGGAACTTCCTAATTTTTTTATTTAGGCGATATCTTTGCATCCTGTGCAATCCTCTAGTAACTAGTAGTAAATGGTTCTTGTTTTGTGGAATGGTATGTGTTCCAATTCTTGCGCATACTCTCGCCGATAGTCCCACAGGTAATGGTCGATCACGATCGCGTTAACATCCATCGACGGATTCAGGTCCAATTTCGAATTGGCAGCGATCAATCTTCGCACCTCGTTGCGCACCTGCTCGACCGCCTCGATTGAGCAAGTACGTATTTCAACCTCTTCCCTGCTGCCTTGTTTCAACGGCTCGTCGGATTTCAACTTGCTCATAAGCGAGTCACTGTAGCGCATAGTGCCATAATGTACAAGCACTTGAGGGATACGGTAATCGGCGAACATTGCGATGCTGTCGATATCATGGAATTCGCCAAGCCCGCGTCCCTCGAAGCAGGCCCAGATGTCGCCGATCAATATCTGAGCCCTCTTGTAAATGCTGATCCTATATCCTTCGTAATCAGCCTCATCCCGGTATGACTCAAATTCTTTGATAATCAGTTGGAGCAGCTTCTCCGCGGAGCCTTTACACGACTTGATACATTCCACAAATGTACCTTTATACTTGTGCAACAGAACCTTTCCAGCCTCATGCAAGCCCTTAATTCTGTCGTGTATAAGTGGAATTTTAACTTCATTGTCACCTCGAAAAATTATGTCTGCATCTTGTTGCGTTATCTGCGAATAATACTTGGGATCCCACATAGGTTTCCCTTCATCAATGGCTCGGCTGACAGCGGCACAGAACGCAAATTAGCCGGTCTCTCCATTGACGTTCCACTTTTTCGTACCCGTCTCGGTCCAAAATGAAAAGTTCAACGTGTCCAGCACGAATATCCAGTCTGCTGCCCTGGAATCGTCGGGCTTGGGGTGGAATCTGATTTGCGAAAAATTGCCCTTGCGGATCTTACCGGTCTTTAAACCATCGAGGATCGCCAATGCCAATTTTTTTACACCTGCTTGCTCGATGAATACATCCTTCGCCAAGCTAGCAACTAGCTTCGCAGACTCTCTTGGCATCAGGACCATAATGTCAAAAACCTTGCTGGCTAACTGATATTTAGCTCAAGCTACTTCGAATGACTGTTAATGACAGTTTGCTTACTCCAAATGTTCTAGTCAAGATACTGGTCAACGAATACTCCAAAGCGATTGGAGTGCGATTTTTAACTAATCGATTCCGCGCTCTTCCAGGTGTTTCATCGGATATGACATGTATCTGATAACATTCTGGACGTAGACAGAAATAGATTCGATACCGATGGATGGTCGATGTCGAATATTGGTTAATATTTTTGTCATTTCCGACCTCGTTATTGTTTTTATGTTAATTACAACTGCACAAACTATACTTCTATAAGATTTTTATTGTTGGTTAATTATTATGTATGCATTTAATGTAAAAATTACGTAAAAAATGACAATAGGTCTGTCGCGTTGCTTGAAGTTCCTAATAATGTTTTACTAGGCTACTTTCTTTCTTCAGGGAGACAATCGACACAAATGTCGTTCTATCTTTGTTATTTATTGAATAAAAGCATGATATAGGCTGCAGTCCACTTGCTTCTTCCAAATGCTCTAAACGTTATGCTCCAAACGCTACGCTCCGATTGGTCCATTACTATTTCGAATGCTACAATTGCTACGTGAACGCTCCAGCCTTAGAACATAGGCTGCGGTCCGCTTACTTCTTCCAAATGCTTTGAACGTTACGCTCCAAACGCTACGCACCGATTGGTCCATTACTATTTCGAATGATACAATTGTTACGTGAACGCTCCAGCCAACCCACCTCCCGAGGTGAGGCAGTTGAAGCGAAGTGGGAGCAAAAACGATGACGTATGATGACGTATCAGAGTTGCTGGGAGCGTTCTGAAGCATCAAATGGACCAGTCATATCAGTGCTACAAATGCTCTGTAGCGTTTGAAGCGCTAAGTGGACCGCAGCCATATATAAATGGAAGGGGCATAGGGCACTGAACGCAGCGTTGCCAACCTCCGCATTATTAAAAATCGTACCAACAATACAAAATTATCGTATTTTGATTAAAATTATCGTACATTTTTTTT